GACCAGCCGGAGGAGCCGAGCCGGGCCGGGCCGGGCCGGTAAAGCCGCCCCCGGGCTGCCCGCCTCACGGCCACGTCCCCGGCCCCGCCCTGGCCTCGCGCCCCGCCCTCGCCCTACTTCCCTGAGCCCTTCAACCCTTGCACTGCACCCGATCCGTAATAGTAAGAGCGCTTAAGATGCCCGACAGTTTTTGAGGCAGCTCATGCAAAAGCCAAGTCACTCTCTGGGAGTCTTAACTGAATTTCGGGGCGTTTGTTTTAATTCATATTCCAGGGGAAATTAGCCAAATCAGTTTCAAATATCCTCCAGTGGGCATCCTACCTGCAGGCCCAAGCCCAGAGGGCGCGGGGCTCGGATGCCCCCAAAGTCCTGCTTGCCCCTAGCCAACAGCCACAGGAACAAGTAGGGAGAACTTTTTTAAATTACACTTGTATCCAAGGCCAAACTAGCCCAAACTAATTCCAGATCCAAGAGTCCAGAACCCGAAGCGGCCCTACTACTGGCAACCATCCTCCACCTGCCCCTGGGGCTTCAGATGTTTCCAAAACCATTGGCGGGCATCCTAGTCACCGGCCCAAGGCTTGGGGTTCGGATGCCCCCGAGTTTTGCTTGCCCTCAGCCATCCAGCAGTCAGAGCAAGCTAGGAAGGAGCCTCCCATTTCAATAAACTGGGTTGAAAGCCACTACACCTCAGCAGGTACTGAACCATGCCAGAAGAGCAGTTCTCCTGCAAGGCAGTTCAGGAAAACTGCCTTCTTGGACACACATACATGGTACTTCCCCTGTCAGATTAAGAAGTCGCTATGCTTGTCCTGAGCCTTTAAGAGTCTTGAGAGCAAGTAAGGAGAATGAATTTGATTAGTAAATGTTTAGGATTGTGAATCCAAAAAGATCACAAAGCCAGTAGGGAAATACAAATCACCTGAGTGAGGGACTAACATAGGAGGGATGGGGGTGAGGAGGGCAACACAAGTAGGTTACAGAAAATACTATGTTAGCCAACTAGGCCCGGGGGTGGGGGCTTGATCTTAGCCCACTTGGGTTTGCTACCAGCCCTGCCTTATGACTGCTTGCCTCAAAATTAAGGAATGTTTCCACTCTGATGACCTAGTTCTCGCTCACTCACTGGAGACTTAGTGATCAATATAAAGTAAATAAGAAGAAAACTTATTTGCACACTTATTTGCATATGTTTTCAGTGCACAATAGTTTTGCAGCAAATATAATGTTTAGCTTTCAATATGATAATTTAATATTTAAGACCTGGCAATGCTGCTCCCAGGCAGGGGCAGGCTTCCCTCACAAGCAATGCATCTTACTAGCCCCCACAGCAGGAGCTGCATACAGGCTGGGGGCACTCGGTCCACCTTCCCCCTCAAGGGGGACAACGCTGCTCTTAATTAAGCTCTCTTAATAAAAATTTCCCCTTGCTGGGACTTTGTCTTACCCTTCAGACATGAAGCCCTAGAAAGGGTAACCTACTGGAAATGGGAATAAATAGGTTCTGATTTTATTTTATTATTTAACAGAGCAACAGCTGATGTCCTACATCATATAAATGTGCCACAGACAAACAAGTGTTTTCTTTTTCTTTTCTTTTTGGGGGGAATGGGGAGTGGGAAAGGTGATTTCTTTTATTGGACAGATTGCCTAAGTGGGAGTCATTTCTAAGTTCAGACAGTCAAAAAGCCGAAGGCTAAAGCGATTCAGTCTTCGCAGGTTAATCTAACCTGTGCAGATTCAACTGCTAAGCAAGTGAACAAACATTCACTTTTGATTCTGGAAATGCAACCACATGCCTGCAGTGGCCCAGGCCAGCTGCCAGGGGGCACTAGAGCGCACCTCCATGCTCTATTAGAGTAGGTAGCTTGGGCTAAGGCTAGTCTGCCCACCCTGCAAGGCAGGGTTTTGTGGAGGAATTGCAAAGCACCTGGGATGCTGGGGGACTGAGAGTTAACTTGAACCTGGAAGGGATCTGGGACAGAAGTTCAATAAATTGATTTAAATTAAAATAGTTAAGTCTGATACTACATCCATCCAGGTTTATCTTAAACTGGTTTTGGCCACTTTGAAAGTGGTTTTGCACACTGAACATCTGTTGTGTTACAGATTTGAACTGGTTTCAAATCACTTATATCGGTTTAGCTTTTTAGACAAGCTTTCAGCCACAAGGTACCCTTCTTCTGGTCTGGGAACAAAACAGATGCAGCTGGAGCGCATATCAAGTCCTTCTTGCTGGGTTGAATGGCACTTAGCTCAGACAAACAGGCCTACTCAATTGAGGGCTTGCTTATATTCAGACATGGTATGCTTCACACTCTGAAGCATAGGGAAGATACATCCACAGGAAGTAACTTACCTCCATTCTAGCCTCCCAGCAACAAAAGGAAAATCTTGGAAGTTCCTCGCTGTGAAAAAGGTTGTTTTACCAGACAGCTGGGACTAGCAACCTAGATTTCACCTTGTAGTGAACCTAAAGGAACAGAGGTATGATGGACACTTAGGAGAAGTCGCACCTGTTACCAATAGGATTCTTTTTGCCAGAGCCCTCCCAGGATTGACACAGCAACTCATCCGATGTGGTATCAAGTGAACTTTAATAGCAATCCCTAGGCTTTATTACAAGTTTCCTCCCCATAATATGACCTGGCAAGTGGCTCCTTAGATGTTACAACAGCGACCTTCAGGGGTACCATGTCTCAGGTCCTCCACTGAGTGTGTAGGTTCTTAGTTTCTGGCTCCCTGCTGTTCGTACAGGGACCCAGCAGCTGTGTCTGTCCTCCCAGGGTCATGGCATGCTAACACACATGTTCCTTTGTTTGTCCACTACTTTTATAACTGTTTTTGTCCTAAATTGTCCAGTTCCCTGGCTCTGTGCCAAGCATTCCTTATATGGTGCACCAATACCCTGGCATTGTGCCAGCCACGTTCCTTATAGGGAAACTGTTGTGCTTTGCTCATCTACTGTCCAATCACAGCACTCACATCGCCCAGTACCACAGAAGGCCCTCTGTTCAATTTTGTTGCTTAGTTCTGGGAAGACCTGGACTATGGCTAAAAAGCCTCAGCATAACTCAGTTTGCCAACTACAGCTCCCATCATAAAATGTGTCAGACAGGAAAACAGAACCTCATCTCCTCTACAGCAAGAAGACTGGCATGCTTTATTGATTTCCAAAGTGCAAGTGCCTCTCTCAAGCTCTGCCCCTTTTGCCAAGAAGATTTGATGGCTCAAGTCCTTCATTTTTCTACTCAAGGTATAGGGTACATGCCTGCCAAGGCTCTAATGTTCTATATCCCAGGCAACGTACTACCCCCTTTCATGTCAAGTGGGTATCATGGCAGAATAAATGAACTGCATGAATCTGAGAATTAGTTTGGCATGTAGCAAGAGGCCATGTGGTCTATGATGGAAAGTTATATTCTTTCTCACTGATATTGTCAGTTGGGACCTGGCCTTGTAAAATAAGTTCAGTAGGATCTGGAACTGGTCCCATGGGAGGTAGGCCTGGGGAGGGGTAGAGCAAGCAGGACAGGATGTGTGTGTATGAGTAGGCAGAAGTCTGGAAGCTCAAGTGCATGAGGCGTACATGAGGCTATGACAAAAGGGCTGTATGGACAGGCCCTTGAGATTATGTGACAGGGTGGCTGAAGCACTCTGACACAGGAATGCAAGGAAGAATACAAAGAAAAGAAACTTACCCAGAGATGCCGAAAAAACCGCTCTGAGCCGAGGCGGGAAAGACGCCGTGCCCTGTCTAATTAAAGGAACCAGCTGGGGCCACAGCAGTTCAAAGGCTGCTGCGGCAAGCCTAGCTGCCAGATTTCAAGCCCAGGACAGGGAGAAAGGCATGGCAAAAGAAGAAGGAAAAAGCCATGCCAAAAAAGTAAAAGAAAAACAGCTGAGTCAAGAAGGCAGCAAATCAGACGCTGCCACGGGGGGGACAGCTGGTGAGGAAGGGAATTTAAGGGGACACCAAGGTAGTGTCCAGGGTTTGGAGAAAAGGGAAGAAAGGCAAGGATAGAGAAGATAACAAGAGATGACAACAGAAAGAACTGACCCTGGGGCTTGGAGGGAAAGCCCTGGTCCCTGGACTTACCTGGAGAGAGCCAGCGAAGCGACGGAGGACACTGCCCTGTTGGTGAGTCCAGTCCCGAGGGGTGGAGATAACCACTTTGGGACCTTAGAAGATAAAAGAGACACAGACAAGAATACACCCCAAGGAGGGGTAAGTCCATCCCGACCCTGAAGGTAAGGGCAGGATTAGAACTAAGAGGCGGCTGTCTTGGGACCCATGCAGGGAAGAATGGGGCAAACAGCTAACTTAGAAGAAGACCCCTCGACAAAGGAGTCCATAAGGCTAAGACTGGACCCTCAGTCTAGTAGGCAAGCAACAACAGGCCTGGAACATCTGGTGCAATTAAGGCAGGGTGTGGGAATGGTGGAGCCCTGCAAGATAAGCTGACGTCCTGAGCCTTTAACTGATCCTTTTTGTCTCCCAAAAATGTTTGGTACCTCTCTGTCTCTAACATCAAGGCGTGGCAGAAACTATTGAAGGACAGAACACTATTATTACAACAGAGAGACAACACGGCTCCAGGCAGCACGCCACCAACATCTTACAATACAATATCATTTTCCATTTCCTGAGCCTCTCACAAACCATACCCAGGGATGGAAAATCCATTAGAAAAACATGTAGCAAATCATTTGATAAAGTCTCTCTGCATTGTGGTGAATAGACAATTTTATATTTCTAGAACAGCAGAAAAGTGTCAAATTACATTTTAGGATAATTACTGCAACTTCATGGTCAGTACAAAGGTAACCTGTGTTTAGTATTGTGCACAAAAACCTGACAATTGTCTAAAGGAACTGCATGGTCATAGTGAAAAGAGTGTTGACTAACTCATCT